GGTACTTAACATCTGAAATGAAATAATATTTATTAGTTTTGAATTAAAATGATGATGATATTCGTAATTAAACGAATCACCGTTGTAAATCCTGCGTGGCATGGAACAAATACACCAAAAATATGAAATATACATGCCGTTGAGCTTCGTATCATAATAAGTAATAAAATCTTTTGTATTTTTAACGGTACAGAATACCATACAGATATATATCTGTTCAATGAATGATATTTTTTTTTTACTGTTATTGTTTTAATAAAATTAATTTCATGAATAAAAATTCAAACTTACAATTCATGAAAAAATTCTTCACTGTTGTTCATAAATATCTGAGCAATATGGTTACATAAAAACATAATCACCAAATGATTGGCAAAAATTATAAGAGACAGGACAATTTCTAATTGATCCTTTTTAATTGTAATCGCATTTACTAGCTGCGAAATAAAATAAGTATATTCAATACGATATATTAATTTTTAAATTAATTACATTTTTTGATATATTTATTTCTTATATATTTATGTAATATATACAAATTTAAAGCGTCTTATTTCCTACGTTTCATGAATTCAAAAATATTAAAAAAAATTTTATGCAAGATTATTCCAAAATCTTTGCATATATAGAATGTCTCAATTTAATTTCTATTCGCACTATTGTTTTTTAAATTACGCATTATTAAAAATAAAAAATAACGCATATAAAACTTGTATTTCAAGATATTGTCTAATGATTAAGCATCAAATATATTTAAATTGTTGTTTTTAAAATCTGATAATAATCTTTGTTTTTTTTAAATGAAACTATGCGTATATTTTATCAGAATTGCAATTTCCAATACGAATTCCAATAATAATTGTCCCAATTATGTTGATCTATGAAAGTTATTCAAAATCATTTATAATTGCTAAAACTTAACTTTATTGATAGTTGGAAGATATTTCTCATTGAAGTAAGTCATTAACATGAGAAATAATGACAAATGATTTATTGATGTATTATTATTTTTATTAAAGTTATTCCATAACATTTAAATTTTTTTTTACATAAATGAAAAAAATTTTAGAGAAGAGTCAATTATTGAATGAAGAATCGCTTAAGAGATGTTTCCCAAATTAATTGTGATACTTTTGAAAGAATAGAATGTTATTTAGGAACAGAAAAAGTCATTGCATCCATATGCAAAGCTGTTTTTTAAAATATAAAATATAAAGAATAATTTCTATTAGTTTATGATAATAAATATCAAAATAATAAATAATGATATTCAAAATGATGATATTTTGAATGATATTCAAAAATCATAATTGGGGCGATAAATTTGAAATCATTAAATAATAATATATAACTTTATTTTAAAAAAATGTATATCAGAGAAATAGACAAAATCTTCACTTTGACAAATGAAAAAGCTATCAAATAATATATCTTTTCAAATACAAGTTTTATACAAAATATTATTTTGAATAATATATAATTCAAGATATTAATTGTGTGAACAAATTAAAATAAAACATCCAATAACTAAGAATTCAGACATATGTGAGTTTGTTTATAATTAACATGTAATAATAATCATGTAATAAAGAAAAGATACTTACTCGATGCAGACTTATAGCCATTGAAATCACGAGTAGAAGAGCAGATATCATAAATTGTTTTCCTGAATTATTTATCATGATATTGATAAGTCTTCCATTGTTAAATGAAATTTGTAAATAAAATATTATATAATATGAGTATTTGCGAGATTAACTTATAATATTATCATATTTTAATTTACCAACTGGATAGCTTGATTATGAATATCCACTACACGATAAAGCTCTGCGAGTTTCGAATCAATTTGCTTCGATGAGAGATTAAATATAGTTAAATACGCAATAATCTTTTCTATTCTATGGCTAAAAACGTAAGATTTGTAGATAGACACATTGCTTAAGAACAAATTTTATTGTTTAAAATTATTTTGTATATATTTATATAATTGATCAAAAAATATTAGTACAATCTTTAAAACACGATTTCTTAAAAATTGTACTTTATGATTCCAGTTCTTTTTTTTTTTGAAAATTTAAATAAATTAATTTATATATAATATATAAATTTTTTTTTATAGAAACTGCAATTTATTAGAATTGCAAAGAACATAACGAAATTAAAAATGTAATGTTTTTATTATATGTTGTAATGTTTTTTTATATATTAGATTTAAATTTTAAAATTTAAAAAATATATTATGTAGATTTGTCAGTATTTATATGTATGTATTTATATTTAAAATTTCGAAATTTCAAAAATCGATTCTTAAGATTTTAATAGTGACAAGGCTTAAATTATAAATCTGAAGAATTTCAAACAATTTTTTCTTTCTGAAAATTTTCATTTTGGTAATGAATTATTACTGAAAAATTACAGAATGTCATTTTATTAATATCTAACGAATAATAAAATCGAAGTGAAAATTTATGCCAAAACAAAAATTGTTCGAAGAAATTTAAATTAAGACTTATCGAATCAATTTCTAGAATATATTTGTTTGAATAATAATATTTAAAATATATTACATAATGCATACAAATAAATCAATATATTAATATATATAAGGAGAAAGGAAAATATAATATTTCAAATAGTACTAAATTTTAAAAAAATTATGCGATCTTGAAATCAATTATAATCATATGAAATTCATATTCATTAAATTCATATTTTAAAAAATATTGTAAATACAGTTGTTGTTGATATTAGTTACATAATAAGTATTATAGGAAAGGGATATAATAATTTACTTACCTAATAATTTTAAACAACACACCTGTATGATAAATATAAAGTCCAATTATCGTTTCCGTACATATTATAGATAATAATCCAAATATGACAACAAATAAAAAATCCAAGCATAAAATATAAAAATATATGGTACGATTGACAGAAAATAATGTAATGTAACGAAATATATGTATATGAGATTCGTTTAAAGGCATTATGAAATCCAATATTATAGGATACAGTAACAACATACCGTACAACGTAATATTTGCACAAATCATTCCTAAAATTTAGAAAAACCATTTCATAATATAGTTTATGTTTAAATTGAAATATTCATATAATAATATCATTAAAAAATTATCCTAAAAATGAAAGAATATTTGATATTTTTGTTAAAAAGTAAAGATTACACATATTATAATTATATATATAAAAGAAGGATATATATAATAAAAACTTAAATATAGTATATATAATAATAATAGATATACAAATATCTTGTAATATTTAAATTTTTGTAATCACAATGGTAATATTGTAAATTGATATTGTCAATGAAATTTATACATTTCTTACGTAAAAGTATTTCGATCATGTGACGAAAATCATCGATGTATTTCGTTCGTATCTTTTTTTCTTTTGAATCTTGTATTATACTTTCTTCCATACGCATATGATGAAATAGAAGTTTTATCTATGTCAAAAAAAAAAAAAAAGAAAAATAATATGTAAAAATATTATTGCATGAAATATCTAGAATAATTTTAATTTTTACTCACCATAGGAAAAAATATTATAAAGCTTATATATCGTAACGAAATTATTATAAGTGGACAAGTTGTAGACAATATTAAAATACAGTTTTGTACCGTAATTTTAGATCTTAAAAGTAACACAATCTAAAAATTTATTAGAATACAATTAAAATATTAGATTTTATGATGATTATATATTTATAGTATTTCAATCGCGTTTTTAAATATATTATCATTATTATCATTTAATCGATGTTCTAAAATATATGTAATATGCAGTTTATTATAAAATAAAAATATAATCAAAAATAGAAGCAAGATGTAGATGTAAAGATAAAAATGTAGATATTGGTTTTAGTATGTTTTTTTTATATATTATTATGTATATAAAATCTAGCTGAATAGCATATATGAGAGAATAAAAAATAAAAATTAAAATAAAATTTTTTCGTTTCGTTTTTTGAAAACTAATTGCTCAACCTTCAATTAGATATAAAAAAAATTATAAAAGAAGAATCTTCTATATATGAAAATATCTAAAAAATGTAGAATTAAATTTTAAGTCCTTTTTTTAAATGGTAAATATATATATGTATGTTGATAAAAAACAATTCTATAATCGATGATTTCTAGAATTCATTTTTTTTGGAAATTAATTTTTAAATGAAATAAAATTATGCCATATATATATTAATTGTATTAACTGTGTTAACTTTAAAATTAAATTTTAAGTTAATTTTAAGTAATAACTTTTAAATATAATGCAAATATGTTTTTATACATTTCTATTATCTTATTATGTGTATATATATTTATATTAAAAACTTAAAATCATAATACATTGTATCAATACATTATTATTTCATATAAGAAATGCATATTATTATTTCAAGAAAAAAAATATTTTAATGTTGTAATATATAGACAATAATCATCTTATAAATCATTTGAGTAAAATGATAATATAACATATATATAATATAATAAATTACGTAAAGTAAAATTATAATTTTCGTCACCTGAAATATTGCATTGCCAAGATAGAATGTTAATAACAATAATCTCTGAATCCAAACATAAATTGAGTTATTATATGGCCATAATCCTACGATTTTCAATACAGTACGATAGCTATGATAGTGTTTGTCGAATACGTCCATCTTTCTAGACAGATATCGACTGTCATGTAGAACTCGAACAATCATTCGATTATACCTCGGCTTAATATATTATTTATACAAATATTCTTTTCTCTTGTTTTTTTATAGTGTTATTTTTTTACAATAATAATAATATAATGTGTAGCAATTGTAATAAATTACAATCAATCGATTTTATGCATACATTCTGCAAAGAGATTTTCCATAACAGATATTGATTTCGAGAAAATTATAGTTTTCAAATTTCTTGTTTGTATTATTAATCTTTAATGTCGTTTTTTATAGTACTACATTCTTTTCTTTTCTTTATTTTTTTTTCCTTCTGTTCCAAGTATTGAGAGAATGAAAATTTATTACGATGAATAGTATATTTCGGTTACTCTACAAGAGAACTTCTTTCTTATATGTATTGTTACTTCATTCAATTATGAATATTTCATATTGTTATTTCATTTAATGGTAGTAACAAGGAGAAATTGGAAAATATGAATAAAAAAGCATGTGTTCTGTTCGAATGGTAATATGCAAGAGAAATATTTACGTAATTAATTTAGACTAGTTATTTTTATTTATAATTAATTTATATATATATATTATAGTTATGTTTTAAAAATAATTATTATTCCAAATAATTATTATCTTCGTAAAACACAATTATTAATACTTGAAATTAATTTTATATTTAATTTGATTTTGAATGAATTTATATATTATTGTAATTTATATAATGTGACATGAAATATTTTAATAAAATCTAATATAATTTTATTGAAATATATGATAGAAAACATATATATATATATAATCTTTATTATTAGAACTGAAGACTGACTGCAAAATAAATATTCTAAATTTAATTGAGAATATGAATAAGCAACAATTATATAATTTTATAATTATGAACATAAATTTATAATAAGAAATAAATAAATTTGTAGGATAATTTGAAAAAAAATTTATAAAATTTTTAAAAGCTTAATAAGTTCAAATAAATAATAAAAAGTAATTACATTTAAGAGTTAAAAGAAATAGTATTTATTGTTTTTTAATATTTTTAATTATTTGTTCAATATTTCAAGGAAGAGATTGGCACAAAAGACGCAAAAAACCAAAATAAATTTTTGACATTATTTTTGTAATATAAACTATCAAACATATATAAAATAGAAATATAAGAAAAAAAAATATTTTAAAAATTCATTTCTAATCATTAAATAGTTGAAAAAATTTTTTTAATTTTCTTAATTTTTTGAGAAAGAACTTTTTGAAATTCTTTAAAAACTCTTCAATATATTACATAAAAAAGAATCATGCAGAGAAAAATATTGGTTTTTGAATGGTTGGTTTTCTTAGAATTTGAATTGATAATCATCTATTGTAAAACAACATATTATCATTGTAACTTTTTATAACTTTTAAATCCATAAAAACCGATATTATTTTTTAATCAATCCATTATTTATTTTCAATAGCTAGATCTTCAATAAGTTAACGATAATTTATGAGCGGATATGGTTTCTTAACGCTTTCCGGATCAATTTAAACAGAAATATTACTGTAACGGCCATTTTACACGGCCAAATAACACGCCTTGCGAGTACGAGCATAAAGATGATCTTCTATACGTTGCAAAAATGTCTATCCTTCGAAACATCCTTCCAACATGACAATTGGTCTCTTTAATTCTCTCTCAGTGTGCATTTTCGAAAAGTAATGATTGAAGGAAAAATCAAAACTGGCAATAAATTAGATTAGTTAGAATAGAAATAGAATACAAATCAAATATAATTTAGCGACGATACATAGTTTGCATCAAAATACAATTATAATCATTATAGTTAACCGCAAACAATTAAAGTACACTATTCGTTCACTCAATATTTTATTATTTTCTTCTTTCAAAGCTCATAATATAAACGATTGGACAATCCTACGATAATAGATAGTCCTTTGAGCAGTAACATCAGTTTAAACACCACATTTGTACAATATCCAAAATTGTTTAGCTTTCGATTTTAACAATTTGAATGAACGAATGGTGATTTACTTTTGTATCGAATTGTATTGTTGTTGAATTCTATTTGATCTGTGTTCTATTTTATTCTAATCTATTTGATATGATCTAGGAGACTGTCACAGGTCTTGGTTTTTCCTCTAATCATTATTTTCGTGCGAGCTAAGAGGGGATCAGACGAACTAATAATCGCGTTGGAGAGCGGTTTCGAAGGATGAGCCTTCGTGAAGTAGTGACGCAGTGCGTGAGAATCAAGATCATTGCTTCCATGATAGTCCATCGCAAAATATTAAGTGCACAAGTGTGATTTATGAAATGGCCATTACTCTTATATCTCTGAGATTGAGAATTTGAAAAACGTTAGAGAATTGTACCTGTAAATTATTGCTAAATTATTAAAAATAGTAAGCTGAAAAAATAAACCTTGAATAATAAATCAGAATTTAATTTACATAATTAAAAGTAATAGAATTTTTCCTTTTTAAACATAAATATATTCCATAGTTATATTACATATCAAAATTACAAAAATACAAAAATTAAACCTTTAATTTTAACATTTAGAAGAATAATTTTGGTCTTTTTCTTCGAATTAAATAATGTATTTAATAAGATAGGCCAAAACAAAAAATGCTAGTTAAAGAATGAAATTAATATTAAAATTATCGTTGTAAATATCAATTTTACCGAAGTTTTATACGCATTATAGATTTGATTTTAATTCTGATTTATTTCGCGAAATATTAATTTAATCTGTAAAAATTTATATAAAATTTACTATTATTTAAAAATTATTATTATGCAAATGTATTATTATAGGAACCTAAGAAAATATGACGGAATAGGAATTCAAAAAGTTGGGTATTTATTACCTCATAATAATTTCCTCCTTGTTATCATATTTGTTCGTATTTGTTTTTGGATAGGATTTTTACTATATTATTAATATATTAGAATTAAACAATAAGCACGATATCAAAATTGAAATGATTATTTTCTTTCACAATTAAAAAATAAATATGCAAAATAATAATTATTCTAAATTAATTATAGCAGTATCGAAATGATTAATAATAAATAATAAAAATTATTAATAATTGGAGGAAGAATTTATAGAATTTTTGATTGAGCAAATATTAACAAGAAAAACAAATAAAAGAAAAAACAAAATGAAGTATAGATTAATTTTAATACTAAAATTTAACATGATACTATCAATTCTATTGTAGCGAGTACATCAAAGTAAAATATGAGAAAGAAGTACTTAACATCTGAAATGAAACAATTTTTATTAATTTTGAATCAAAATGATGATAATGTTCATAATTAAATTACCGTTGTAAATCCTGCATAACATGGAGTGAATACACCTAAGATGTGAAACATACATGCTGTTGAACTTCGTGTCATAATCAATAATAAAATCTTTTGTACCTTTAACGGTACAAAATACCATATAGAAAAATATCTATTCAATGAATGATATTTTTTTTTACTGTTAATGCAATTAATTTCATGAATAAAAAATTCAAACTTACAATTCATCAAATAATTCTTCACTGTTGTCTATAAGTATTTGACCACTATGGTTACATAAAAGCATAATCATCAATTGCTTGACAAATAAGATGAGACAAATTAAAATTTCTAAATGATCCTTAGTATTTATAATTGCATTTTTTAGCTGTGAAATAATTAAAAATAAATATATTTAATAAGATATACTCATTTAAATTGA